CAAGGATCCAGCTTGGATATCTTAAAGTAGTGTAGCAGGGACTGGATTGGATTGGAAACTGAGCTTCGGTGGGCTGCCCAATGTGGGTCACGTAAATTATATGGATTGGCCGTGGCTGTGTCCACTTTTTTATTTTTTTTTTCCAGGTCCATTAGTCCTTGGTTTGTGCACAGACCACAAGTTGAAATTGGCTTATATGATGAGGTCAGATGGCGTATTCGTGAAGTCGGGTTTTCGGTCAAGGTTCATGCAACGGAAAGCTAGGAAAACTATACGTATGCAAAATCTGGAGCGTGGGCAGATTCTAACCCTGGAAGCCTTCTCCCGTGTACAAAAAAATAAATATACGTGTGAGGGAAAAGAACTATCAATGATATCAAACAAGTCCCTCAGAGCAAGGCATCAAACTGTCTCAAGAGCACATCAGACCCTCCGTCTGCATTGCCTCCGATCTCCTTGATCCCGTCAACAGCCCAACCCATGGCCTTCTCCCCCACAAGTTCCCATGTTTCCTTCTCATCCAAATGCTTCTTGTTCAAATACGCCAAGACAATAAGTGTCGCGACAATTGACCTCTGCTTCACGTTCTTGGTGTCTATTCCAGTTTTCTTTCCCAAAATAGCTGCCCAATCCAGTTTGCTTTCGATATCAGCGGCATTGAGCCCCATGACTGCAAATACATTGCTTTCCCACTGCCACGATCCCTCAAAGGACTGAAGTGCTATCAAGGCGTGAACTGCATCCTGCGAAGGCGCTGTAGGTCCAGAATCCGTTTTGAGAAACCGTTGGATCAGCCGAGCTCCTGGAGGTGCACGGCTGGCTTTTTTGCTTTTGCGGAGGGAATCAGTTGTTGCTTGCTCAGCCAAATCGTTACCTTTGTCTACTCGGCCACCTAGTCGTTCGCCACGTTCAAGCACTAAGTAACAGAAACATCTCGTAAGTATATCAGAGGAGCTAGTGTACACATCCGACACGCAAAATTGGAAATGCAAAAGGCGCGATCTATACATGGTGAAAACTTACTCTTATCGGGAACGACTGACGCTGATTTGGCTCTTTTACCTAAAGTAGATATTAATGATTTAGTACTAGAAATTGGCAAGTAAAGCGATAAGGTGCTAGGGACTGGTGAGAAAGGGGACGGTATCTCAGATGAGAGGGGTTCATAGGAGCTAATTCAGCGGCTGGAAAGAAAAGGGGCATGAGTCGCACCAAAAAGGGAGGCAGCAGCGGGCCCTTGGGGCGCGGAAGCTGACCCGAATAAAGGCTCAGAGTGATGTGCAGCAAA